TATGAAGGGATGGACACTGGGAGGAGGTAACTATGGGGAGGAAGTGGGAGGGGAGCTGCTGCATTGTAAATTTTGGTCAGTGACATGAGACAAAGTATATGTGAACTGCTGTATGAAAAGTGAATTTACTCTGTAAATCTTCACCCAAATCCTAATAAAAAAAAAAGAAAGAGTCATAGTCTTGGAAACCACATGAAGGCAGTTCTACTCTGTCCTACAGGGTTGCTATGAGTCGGAACAACTCAAGGGCAGTGGCTTGGTTTTTTTTGTACCAGAGGCTGGCGGGGTGGGGGAGAAACAGGAAGTTAATGCTTAAGGGGTACTGAGTTTCTGTTTAGGGAGATGAAAACATTTGGAAATGAATAGTGGTGATGCAAGTACAACATGGTGAATGTAATTAATGTCTGAATTATATACTCAAAACTGGTTAAAATGACAAATTTTTTGTTATATATATTTTACCATAATAAAAAAAAATTATAAGTCACTCTGATCAATCTAGCCTCTGAATAATTCTAAATTAGGAGGGAGACTAAAGAAAATAAAATGCATGGATTCAGGGGATATTTAAATTACCAACAACAAATGACAAGGTACTTTGCTTCAGTCATCAGAAAAATGCAGTCTATCCAGCCGACAGAAACAGCTATCGTTCCCCAAGAAAATCATGGCCACATCCATGCATCCTCCATCTGGGATTCATTGCCTCTTTTAGAAAGGAACAGGGATGTAGAAGCTCCAAGCCCAGGTGCTGTCCTTTTACTGTAATCTCAAATGGGCACTATTCTCCTGCCACTGCCAGACAGTAAGTGCCTCCTCTTTCCATCACTTCCAAGCCATTTCCAGCTTCAAAGCTTACCTTAAAATTAGACTTGCATATCGTAGCTGCCTGACTCATTCCTTCTCCTGTAGAAAAGAGAAACAACATGGATGAAAAGACTTAACTCTGATTAGGGGTGGGAAGCCTTCTCATGTGAACTGCTCTGTGGTTTGAGCATTCTATTGTCCAACATTAATTCTACTTAGAGTCCAGGAAGCAAGAGTACCAAGGAAGGTTGGCTACTTCAACTAAGCTCATTAAAATATGAGAACTGCAAGGCTTCCACAAAGGTGATCTAGTCCAGGGATGGCTTTTACACACAAACCACCCCCCCAAAAAAAAAAAAAACCAACTCACTGCTGTCTAGTCAGATCCAACTCATAGCGATCCCTCCTTGGGTTTCCAAGGTGGTATCACTACAGAAGTAGACACAAGCTACCATTTTTCTTCCATTTGCATGGAAAAGAGCATTAACTTAATCCACCTGAATCCAGATGTGTAACCTCAGAATTATTCTTAACACAATGCTCCTGGCAGCCACTCATCAACTGGAGGTGGTATGCAAGTTGAAACCTATTTGTTATCTTTGACTGAGGATCATCTTCCATCTCCCCAGGAGCTTTTTAGACAGCTTGGGGCATCTTTACAATGCCAAATTCCTTCTCCAATGACGGAGCTCAACAATAGTTACTGAACACCTACTACATGCCAAGATTGTGAGGATAGCACAGGACCAACCAGGGTTTTGCTCTGTTGTACACTCGGATGCTATGAGTCAGAGCCTACTTGATGGCACCTAACAACAACAACACATGTCAGGTGCCAAGCATGTAGGAGGTACCATTCCAAGGTGGTATCTCTACAAAAGTAGATTGTCCAGTCTTCCTTCCAAGGAGTAGCTGGTGGGTTTGAACCATCAGCCTTCTGGTTAGCAGTCAAATGCTTTAGGCACTATGCCATCAGAGCTCCCTGAACAGTACTAATAGTCAGAAAGGTCTTCCACTGTCAAAATCTGCCTTTCTCCCTGGCCAGACTCCTTCACCAAGACCCCAACTGGGAATGTCCAAACTGAAGACTCCAGGCTGGATAGGGAGAGGGTCTTGGAAACAAACCCTGTATTCAGCCCTCTTTCTCCCAGGTCTTTCTACACCACGGTACATCACACCCTCTGGATAATCTATCTTGTCCCTTCCCGGCAGTGCACACCCCGATGGGTTGGGTTCCAGCAGGCAGAAAGAAATACCCAGGATGAAAATAAGACAGAAATGGACTCCAGGGAGGCAGGTGTGGAGAAGGGGATGTCTAATCTAGAACCTGTAACACTTGGTTTTAGTCCCAGCCTTGCCAATAACCAGCTAAGTGACTGTGGATGAACCCCTTTCCCTTTCTGTGCCTCAGTTTCCTGATCTGAAACATGAAAGCATAGGACCAGCATAGTTTCCCAGAGGGCACTACAGCAGCTAGTAGGCTGCTAATAGCCCTTTCTTTCCTCCAAGGAGCATCCACCATGTGAGAGGTGGCTTGTGCTTCTGGTGGAGGACACATCTGGAACTGGCCTCCAGCCAGGAGCTACTTCTATGAAGGGCCACACCCCTGGAACTGCTCAACCCTCACAACTAACACATGAAGCCAATTGCAAAATAATGATTTTGCTATTTTTAATACATGACCATGAGGGTACAGGCAGGTTTAGTAACCTGCCCAAAGTCCTATATCTGGGAAGGAAAGGGTAGAGCCAGAATTCGAACCCAAGCCCTGGATTGTGTAGTCAGGGCCTTTATCACTACCATTCCACTGGCCTATTCATGCAGCAGGGCTGAGAGGCTCAGGGGACATGGTCCCCTCTGCGAGGGGCCAGGATGTTGCTCTGTGTGACCCCAGAGGACATGGCCAGGCCTCAAGGACAGGTTTCCAAACAGGTACTGGATACAGTGTTCCTCTGGGGATGAGAGCCACTGAGGTGTGTGAGCAGAGGCCAGGGAGGGGATACTGGAGGACAGATACTGGAGGATGGTGGAGGACTAGATTGTACTCAATGCTGCCTGGTCCTGACATTTAGAGCTCAGTGATATGAGGTAAGTGTCCTATGGGCCCAGGTTTGCTCCCATGGAACATGAAGGTGTTTTTTCTCCCTCCCTTTTCCTTTCCAAGAGCCACACATGTCTCCAGGGATGTAGCAGACACTGCCCCCTCTGGTGAAGCTGAGAAGCCATGTGGTCAATGGCATTTGGCACACATACCCCTTGAAGCCCTGGGCACACCCTCCAGCCCCATGACAGTACCTTTCAGGCTGACAGACAGGTTGATGTCAAACGTGTAGGGCTGGTCATGGCAGAGATATGGCAGGGGCTTGGGGTCCTGGAAGGGCAGAACACAGTACAGAGGGTCACTGGTGGGCAGGGTCAGTGGGGCCTTCAGTAGAGGGGCTCACCAGGCACACAGAATGTGGATACCAGCACAGTGTCCTTGCATGGTGGGGAGCAGGGGTGATGTGTGTGCCAGGCTTCCAGAAAAGAAGCTGAGAGAGGGTCATCAGCAGGTCAAAGGTCATAGGAGTCAAATCAGAGATGCCCCAGAAAGCCAGGGGAGGGGAGAGCCAGGGGAGCCAGGTGGTAGGAAAGCCAAGGGGAGGAATGAGACAAGGCTTGTGTAGGAAAGGCCTCCTGGAAGGCAGAGAGCAGGGGCAGCAAGCAGAGGCAGGTCCATCTCTGGTGCTGGAGTCAAGCTGAAAAGGCTGGGCCAGAAAGTCCATACTTCTACCAAACGCAGTGCTTTCCTAAAGTGTGGTCCCTGAACAAGCAGTAGCACAGGGAATCACTTTTGGTGATTTTAATACTTTTGTGTTTCTTTTTATGATCATTTTAACTCTGATGGTTAGTGATGCTGGGAAGCACATAAGGTTCCTTTTAAAAATACATTATTTAAGTGTTAAAATGAGAGCTGTTTTAAAGAGAAACATTAAATAAGTAATAGTTATTACTTGCCAGAAGTGGCAAGAATGGTGAAGATTGGATACAGTGACCAGTATTTGGGAAAGGCCAGTATAAAGCCAAGGAGCTCTGGTGGCGTAATGCCTAAGGCATTTGACTGCTAAACAGAAGGCTGACAGTTCAAATCCACCAGCCATTCCACAGAAGATCGGGCAATCTACTTCTGTAAAGATTTACTGCCTCGGAAACCCAATGTGGGTTGCTATGAGTCAGAATTGACTTGATGGCAGTGGGTTTGGTTTTTGGTATAAAGACAGAAGGGACCCCAAAATCTCCATCAAGGGTAATGTGATGCGCTGTATGGGTAGACCTGGAGGAAGGGGTGAAGATGGGAGGGGCTGAATCAGGCAGGAAGCATCTACAGGGATCCAGGCAATCTGGGGTGAGAACCAGATTACTAGCAATCAAGGAAGGTGTGAGTACAGTGTGCTAAGACAGAGAAAGAGAAACTAACTCTTGGTAACTAAAAATGATGGGAAGGAAGAGGTTAGGGCAGGAGCCATCAAGGAGGGACCAACGAGACTGGAATGGTAGCCCTGCAGGAACCTCATGAGGAGATGGCTTGCAGAAAAAGATTCCATGTTTGACCACATAATGTGGATGAACTTGGAGGACATTATGTGGAGTGAAATAAGTCAATCACAGAAGGACAAATATTATATGAGTCCATTACTGTAAAAAGTCAAGGAAAGGTTTATATATAGAAGGAAACATTCTTTGTTGATTACCAGGGATGGGAGCAGAGAGGAGGGAAAATTCCTACACAGGTTAAAAAAATAGACAGATAGAATACGACTACGAGACCAGAACTAGATGATGTCTGGCTTCCACTGTCAACCACTCAGAGGGAGATCTATGTAGGAGATCCCAGATAGGATGGGAGAACAATGTGGAACAAAACTCAAAATCATAAAAAAAAAAGAGGGGACCAGGTTTTCTGGTCTGATAGAGCCTGATGGACCCACTGAGACTATGGCCCCTAGCTGCACTTCAGGTCTGGAATTGAACCCACTCCTGTGGCTTCCAGCCAAACAAAAGACAGGCATATGAACTGAACATTTACATTAGGTAGATACACTCCTTGGAGAGATCAATCATGGGAGAATAGAAGGACTTAGTATGCACAAAGAGACAGCTTGGGAGGCAGGAGTGCATGGAGGGAAGGACACAGGGAAAAGGTAACTATGGGGAGGAAGTGGGAAGAGAGCTGTTGCATTGTGGGGAAACTGCAGTCAATGTCATGAGACTGTCATGTCATGTCAATGTCATGAGTGTATGTAAACTCCTGTATGGAAAGTGAATTTGCTCTGTAAACTTTCACCCAAATCACAATAAAACTTTAAAAAAAAAAAAAGAGAGATAGATTTAGACAGAGATATGGAGATAGAGAGATACAGATATATAGATAGAAACCAAAGACTATTAGTGGCTATCAGAAGGTAGGAGGGAGAGGAAAAGGGGAAGCTTTTGTTTGTGGGGCATTGAATTTATGCTAATGATGGTGGAATATTTTGGCAAAGATAGCCATAATGGTGGTACTACATGAAAAATGTCATCAATGCCCCAGAGCTATAAATGTGGAATTTGTTATGCTGGTGAATGTCTTGGTGTGTATGTTTTCACCATAATAAAAGTAAAAAAAAAAAAAAAAAAAGACTCCACATTTGTTTCAGCACAGCAAACATGAGAGACTCCAGGGCCCAGAGATGCAGAGGAATGTAGACTTTACATCAGCTGGGCGCTGATGAGATGGGGGTGACAGTCAATGAAGGCTATGGAAGGAACAGGGCAGATGCTGAAAGTATGGCCTGGGATGCCCTCAACTTAGAAATGGAGTTGGAGGGGTGCGGGGTGCTTCCAAGGGCTCTCAGAGATATGGGAGATCCACAACAAGTCACATGCCAGATGCCAAGGAGGGACAGTGCCTAGGAAGTGACGGGCTGCAAGGAGGTCCATGCTAAAGGGGGTTACAGGCCATGCCATTGGCGACAGGAGGTCCTAGGTGAATTTGACTGCTAACGTGGTGGCTTTGACTGACTGCAGCTAGAAATTAACTGGCTGAGAGAGAAGAGAGACAGTGAAACGCAGCTTGAACAGTGAGGCTGGGCACAGGAGGCTGCAGGAACCTGGACCCCCTTGCTGCTGAGCTCCACGTCTCATTCTATGAGTCAGGCTCCAGGGGGCGCCATTCACACAGAACACAATTTGATGGTGACCAGATCATCCAATGTTGTGGTACTGGCAGGAAGCTCTTCTCCTGCCAACTTACCAGATTCCCCTGGACTCAGAAAACTCCAAAGGTTACAAAATTCTGTGTTTTCTCCAAGGACTGTGCAGGGGGCAGGGAGAGCTTATGGGTGCCTGGAGGTCATGGCAACCAGGCTCCAGGGGGCATTTGATGGTGGCCATGACATGGGCACAGAGCTTCCCTACAGGTCTGTATTCCCAATGCATCTGTGCAGCAGGCAAGCAGCCCCAGGGTGGTAGGGCCTGGGTTTAGGGGTGGTGTCCTACAGAAGGTGTGCTTACCTGTACTGGGTTGGGCACAGCAAAGGGCATAAGAGCGTCCATGGGCACCACCCATGGAGAGATGGTGGTTCCAAAACTCTTCCCGAGGAATGGCCCAAGAGGGACATATTCCCACTTCTGAATGTCTCGAGCTGCAGGAGAAGGGCAGATTCCAGGCTTGTCCCATGGCTTCCTCTTCCCCTCGACCAAGGAGCAGACCCAATAGAGCCCTCCACACATAGGCTGCCCCTGGACTATAGGCAATAGCATTGATGCCAAGGACAGTGATCCTTTGAGGTCACTGTGCCAGGTTACAGCAAAGACAAGGATGACCCAGGACTGTCAGGTGATCCCCCATGAAGGTACTGGAAGCTCGTTCTCAAACGAACAAACAGACAGACATTTCCTGGGACTCATGGAGTCGGCTCTCATTACAGCATGGCATAGTGGCTGAGAATACAGGCCCAGAAGCTTGGCTATTTAGCTTCAAATCTTAGCTCAGCAACTCAAATCTTTCTGTGCCTCAGTTCCTCACTGTAAAAAGGGAATAAAAATGTCACCAGTATCCCATAGGGATTCAATGAGATAGTCCATGTGAGATGCTTAGCACAGGATTAGTATATAATAACCAAAAAAAAACCATTGCCAACGAGTCAATTCAAACTGACAGTGACCCTGTAGGACAGAAGAGAATGCCCTCCTAGGGTTTTCAAGGCTGTAATCTTCACAGAAGCAGACTGTCTCATCTTTCTCCTGTGGAGCGGCTGGTGGGTTCGAACCTCCAACCTTTTGGTTAGCAGCCAAGTATTTAACTTCTGTGCAACTAACGCTCCTTAGTATATAATAAGTGCTCAATAAATATTAGCTATGTAGTCAGCTGTGTCACTGTTATGAGAAAACTGTTCCTCAGAGAGGTTAAGTAACAGGCCCATGATGTCAGAGCTGGGATTTCTATTCAATATCCAAGCCTATACTCTCAGCCACTGTTCCACCTGCCTCTTTTGACCAACACCAGATACAGGAAACCATTCATGGTTTCTGGGAAGCAGTGTCCCAAATACCCAGCCTCAACCTGGTCCCCAGCCAGAGAGCAGAGCATATACAGGTAACTCAACCTCAGGACTCCCAGCACCCATCATTACCACTCCAGTCGTTCATGAGGACCATTCCAAAAATGTGCTCATGGGCCTTGGAAATAGGGATCGGCTCGCCGAGTTTGTTCCCAGGGCCTACAAAGAAAGCCTGTCATGGAGGAAGCTGATTAGAATCTGGCTGGTCTGCAGCCCCGACCACTCATCTCCTGGAGAACAAACCTCTGGCACTTTTAAACCACAGCCAGGGCTAGGCCTGCCACACAGGGCCAGGCCTGCCACACAGGGCCAGGCAGGACTACAAACCCATTGCATTTCTAAGTCCTGAACTGCACATGAATGCTCACATGGTCACCCTGGGAAATGGTCTGCAGTGCCCACTCGAGGCCCCTCCTCCCATGCCTCTGAATTCCACGGGCAGCTTCCCGGACCATTCTGTTCTTTTCCCCTTCACCCCACATGCGCTCTGTATTTTAAGATTTGACAGCTACATACAGTTCTGAAAAATGAAAATGCCAGGGTTTGTCTTCATGTCATGGACCATCAAAAAGCGGCCTCCTGAATGCAGCAGATAGCCTGAAGGGGGCACACCCTGCACCTCCTGACTTCCAACCCTACACCCTAACCCTTTACCCCATTTTCTCTAAAGAGTCAACATAATGCCCATGAACCAACAGAATATGCAGAAATCAGTGGGGGAGGAAATTAGGAAAGGGACAAAACTGCCAAAAGCACACAAGCCCAGCCATGCTATTTGCAAAACCTGAGTCAGTTTTATTTGCTCTGTGACAGTGTTTAAACAGTGCACATTCTTCATAAAGATTAAAACAAAAACACCCAAGGGCACTGTGGCAGGGCAATCTTACCACCATCAAGTCCAGATCCTCTGTACTCCCTGCCCCCCGCTGTTCTTCACACTCTGACTTGCTGCATTGTCTCCACTCACACCCCCCCTCCATGCTTGGCCCCCAACAGGGACCAGCACAAGATAAGCATCTGCCTGCAGAGCCCTGGCCTTCTCTAGCACCTGGCTTTGAGTGTCTCAGTAGGACACAATCTCTGCTTCTCAGGTGGTGCCAGTGCTAAAGAGGCAGGAGCCAGAGGGCTGGCTGGGAAGGACCTGCTACCCTACTGGGGCCGACTTGACAGCGTCCACCCACTTCTCTCTCAACTCTGGAAAGAACCCAAAAATAACCCAAGGCAGGGCTGGACAGATGGAACTCCAGCAAAGCAGACTGGGTCTCCAGCAAGGTTCCTACTTAACCCTGGATTCCTAGTACCACAGCCATACTTAGTGGGTTGCCCCATAGCCATTTTTCCTATACCTGCAGTGAGAAGACACTCTCAGCTTCCTAAAGCTATGCTAACTTCCTAAAACTATGCTATGTGCTAGCTATGGAATGGGAAAGTCCCCCATGTCTGTCTGCCTGCTTGCATTTCGCCAGGGCCTGGCTCTGCCATCAGTCATCCCTGACAGCCTGGCAGCACCCTGGAGACACTGTCCACATTCCCCCGAGTCCTCTCTCCTCCAATTCAGCTCTTCTTTCCCCTCACTCTCTTGGTCCCCTCACTTTGGAGACTACCCAAATTTCAGTGTCCTTAAAAATGTATAGCCATGCAGCATGGGTATCCTTGGGTCCTTAGGGTAATGGAACTGTTCTGATGGAACCAACCAGATCCATGTCAATATCCTGGTGGTGATACTGTACTATGGTTATGCAAGACGTTATCACCGGGGGAGACTGCGTGAAGGGCATTTGGGATCTCTCTGTACTATTTCTTCCAACTGCATGTGAGTTTACAACTATCTCAATATTTAAAAATAGTGAAGTCCTGGAATGGCTGCAGGTCTGAGGCTCTGTGTGCTCAGATATAAGGCAATAGGGCCTGATCATCACTATGGCCAGGAGGGGACACCCAGAGCCAATATTAAATTGCTGAGGATGGGGGAACAGGTCATTGTTCAAAGCAACCATCCCAGAGAGCTCCACTACCATCACTTTTATAGAGAGCACGTCGATAAAATACTGAAGCACAGCTTACCATTTCCAACTCCATGTCTAAGAGCTTGCAGGCACCATATACAGGAGGCTTAGCTGGAATGATACCAGAAAAAGAGGCTGTTAAGAATGTCAGGCTATGGAGCCCACTGTGTAGACACGGAGAGCCAGGCACCCAGTGGCACCTGGATCTTGGGGCCACTTACAGTCATCAGGGCTCATCTGTCCCATGGGCCTTCGGATCGGGGTGCCAGATATCACGATGGAGGAGGCACGACCGTGATAGCCCACGGGTAAATGCAACCTGATAAAGGAAAGAAGGCAGGGTGTCAATGCTGTCACAGGCTACAAAGTAAACTTTAAAAATTAAAAACATGAAGAGTCAACTCATAGACATGGTTCAAAAACCAAAAGGTACCTAAGAGTAAACTGGGGGAGTAAATATTTAAGACTTTCTCCCACCCTCGTCTCCAGCACCAACATAGTGATGATGCCACTCCATGAAGAGCAAATAACACTCACAGTTAGCACAGCACTTAGTATGCACCAGGCACCACACAAGGTGCTTTTCACATTGCTTTTCTTTACAAAAGCCCTGCTCTGCAGGTCACATTAGCTATCATTACGCAAAACCGGCTGAAAGCTTATGTGGCTTGGCTGAGTCACACGACTGTGAAGTGGTGGAGTTGGGATTGAAATCCAGGCCATCTGATAGCAAAATTCTCCCGCTTCCACAGTAGCCCACTCCCTACCTAACACAAAGGGAGCCTGGAAAGAAACTGTAAAGCTCAAAGCAGAAGAGTCATCCCAGAGCAGCTGGAACACTGTGAAGAACTGTTTATCAGACAGAAATGTGGAAGAGGAAATGAAAAAGGAAAGCCAATACAGTTTGCACTTCCAAATGTCAAAACTCATTATAATGGTATTTAAAATAGTATGGTACTGATGAAAAGAGATAAACGGAACAATCTGAGGTATCAGGGGTCAGAAAGCTGGCTGGGAAGCCATGTGTGAAAACTCAGCACACAATGAAAATTGGTGAATGTTGTTTAGACAATGGGATACGTTCAAAACTGCAGTGGGTTCAATAAAAACCAGTTGCCACTGAGCTGATTCTAACTTATGGTGACCCCATGTGTGTCAGAGTAGAACTGTTTCATAGGGTTTTCAATGGCTGATTTTTTTGGAAGTAGATCACCCTTTCTTCTAAGGTTCCTCTGAGTGGACTCAAACTTCCAACCATTCAGTTAGCAATCAAGTGCACACTAACCACTGGTACCACCCAGGAGTGGATTCAATAGTGACTCCAAAAAGATGTGGCCACATCCTAACCCCTGGAGAATATAAATGTGACTTTATTTAGGAAAAGGGTCTTTGCACATATCATTAAGGATATCAAGATGAGAGCATCCTGTATTGTCCAAGTGGGCCCCAAATCCAAGGACAAATGTCCTTACAAGGGACAGAAGAGGAACAGACATAGACAAGAGAAGGTCATGTGGTCACAAGCCAAAAAGTACCTGAAACCATCAGAAGCTGGAAGAAGCAAGGAGTGCAGTGTCCCATAGAGCCTTCAGAGGGAGTGTGGCTCTGCTGTCACCTTGATTTCAAACTTGGTGTCTCTAGAACTGTGACCAGTTTGTGGTCATTTGTTACAGCAGGCCCAGGAAGCTAATACTGATTCATACCTCACATGATACATAAAAGGAAATTCCAGATGGATTAAAGATGTAAATGTACAAAGCAAAGCTACAACTAAAATATGAAAAAAATAGGCACAATATTTTCAAATTTTGGGGGTGGAGAAAGTCTTTCTAAACATGACACAAAAGTAAATGCCCTAAAGAAAATGATGAACATGCTTGGTTAGATAAAAACGTAAAATGTCTGCATCAAGAAAGATAGCAGATGGAGTAAAAAGACAATACACTGAGAGAAAATAAATGCAATACATTTAATAAATGCAACACAGTTAATTTCTATTATAGAAAAACACTCTTTCAAATTAATAAGAGAGAACTAAATAGAAAAACTGGCAGAGGGAATCCAAGAATGAGAGAATATGTAAGAAACCAATAGGAACAGGATGGTAGGAGACAGGAGTGGGAGAGTCTTATTTTCCCAAACCAAAAAAAAACCAAACTCACTGCCATCCAGTCGGTCCTGACTCATTGAGACCCCTCTTTGGGTTTTCAAGGTAGTAACTCTACAGAACCAGATTGCCCAGTCTTCCTTCTGAGGAGTAGCTGGTGGGTTTGAACTGCCAGCCTTCTGGTTAGCAGTCAAATGCCTTAGGTACTACACCAACAAAGCTCCCAGTTTACCCTTCATCAGAACCAACCAAACTCACTGCCATCAAGTTGATTCCAGCTCACAGTGACCCCCATTGGGTTTCCAAGGCTGTAAATCTTTCCAGAAGCAGACTGCCTCATCTTTCTTCTGCAGAGCAGCTGGTGGGTTTCTATCACTGACCTCTGGTTAGTAGCCAAATGCCTTAAGCACTACTCCACCAGAGCTCCTATTTACCCTTAAAGACCTTTTTAATTTCAAACCATGTGCATGTACAGACAGATGCCTTTTCATTGCTTTCAATTTCTTAAATGTTTGAAACTTTATTTTGCAATATTTATAAGAAAGATACCATAACACAAATTATGTGCTACCAATAAACTTAAGAAATAAAATATTGCAAACCCAGTTAAATGTCTTCTTTATATCCCTTCTTGATCTTTCCCTCTTCTTACCTCCCTTTCAGCCCCCTCCCCAAAGAGAGAACCACCACTGAAATTTGGTGTCCCTCATTCCCCTTATTTTTTTATAATTTACTACTGTATTACACAGTATTTTTTATTATTATTACATAAATGGTATTTTATTGCATATTTTTCTTGCATGGTTGTTGTTGTTTGCTGTCGACTCAATTCCAACTTATGGCAACCCTATAGGACAGAGAAGAACGGCCCCAGTCAAGGGTTTCCAAGGCTGAAATCCTGAAAGGAACAGATTGCCAGGTATTCTCTCCTGAGAAGCCACTGGTAGGTTCAAATCACCGACCTTTCTGTTAGCAGCCAAGGCCTTAACCATTGTCACACCAGAGCTTCCTTTTCTTGCATTTACTGATTCAAAAAAATATTTTGTAGAAGACTGAGATAAACTCAGGTTTACTCAAAAGAAGAGATGTTAATGATACTGACTCAATGGCAGCTAGTACACACACATACAGATAGATACACACATATATACAGATAGACACACACATATAGATGGATACATACACATATGTCTATGTGTATATATATACACACACACATATATATACATGTATTGTATATATATGTGTGTGTGTGTGTGTGTATACATACATATACACAGATATAGATATGGATATATACACACACACACACATATATATACATGTATATATAAACCAAAACCAAACTCACTGCCATCAAGTCGGATCCGACTCATAGTGACCCCTCCTTGGGTTTCTGAGGCAATATCACTATGGAAGTAGATTGTCCACCCTTCCTTCTGAGGAGTGGCTGATGAGTTTGAACTGCCAGCCTTCTGGTTAGCACTCAAATAGCCTCCTTCAGATGAGTTATTGTGTTATAGTGGATAAGGCACTTGGCTGCTAACCACAAGGTTGGGAGTTCAAACCCACTAGCCTCTCTGTGTAAGGAAGATGGGGTGATCTACTTCCATAAAGATTTACAGCCTCGGAAACCCAATGGTGGTCACTATGAGTTGGAATTAACTTGATGGCAGTGAGTTTGTTTTTTCTTTTTTTTGGTGGACTCATCTGAGGATTCTCATTCACCAGAAAATTCTAAGCACAGAGAATGCTGGGCTTTAATACTGATAAAAAAAACAATATGCAGCTCACAAATGGAAGAATCTATAAAGATCTTAGTGACTCAGAGGGATTTATTTCCAATCCCTATTCTCTAGATGAAGTAGCTGTAGCTCAGAGAAGTTAAGCAATTTGCCCACAATCCCTCAGCAGGCCTTGGGTTGAGCTGAGACCAGAAACTGAGATCACCTTCCATTTCGTTTCCAGAGGCTGTGACAGTATCACAATTACTGCTTTTCCTCCCCAGTTTACTTTTGCCCAAGTAGATAAACAAGCTGCTAGAAATGGAAAGGCAGACTTTGAACATATTCAAGCTCCTGACTGATACAAACCAGTTTGGCATCAAGGCATTCTCCTTGCCCCTGAACATGATGCCAACATTTGTAGCATGCTGCCGAGAAGAGTAGAAATCCGTGTAGTCTCCTGCAAAGAAGGACATGAAAGAGGCCATCAGTGATGTTGACCCTCAGGAAGGAGCGTGGAACAGTTCCAAGGACCAGGGCAAGAGATATGAGAAGGGGAAAGCAAGAGCACAACTTCCTTGGGGGTCCTTGCTCAGGGCTCTGGGAGCACGATGGGCAAGGCCATGGGCATGCACACAACAACACTGGCGTCATTCCAAAGCTGCCCTTTGGCAACTCTTCCTACAGTGACAGCACCCAATGCAACACAAAAGAACTTTGCTGAAGATTCACTTTCAAAATCCCAAGTGAGAAACCAAGAAGAAATAAGGAACCAACACTCTTTTTTTTTTTATTGTGATTTGAGAGAAGATTTACAGAGCAAATTCACTTTCCATAAAGCAGTTCACATATACTTTGTCTCATGTCATTGACCACAGTTTACCACAATGCAACAGCTCCCCTCCCACTTCCTCCCCATAGTTACCTCTTCCCAGTGTCCATCCCTCCATACACTCCTGCCCCCTGAGCTGTCTCCCTGTGCATAAGCAGCCCTTCTTTCTCCCATGATTGTTCTCTCCAAGGAGTGTATCTACTTGAGGTAAATGTTCAACTCATATGCCTGTATTTTGTTTGGCTGGAAACCACAGGTGTGGGTTCAATTCCAGACCTGAAGGACAGCTGGGGGCCATAGTCTAAGGGTTCCACCAGGCTCTATCGGACCAGCAAACCTGGTCCCCACCTTTTTTTTTTTTTTTCTTCCAAATGATTTTGAGTTTTATTCCCATTGTTCTCCCTCTCTATCAAGGGTCTCCTACATAGTTCCCCTTCCAAGTGGATGACAGTGGTAGCCAGGCACCATCTAGGAACCAACACTTTCTGAAGCATGCAGTGGAGTTTGAATAAGAAATGGAGGACACCACTCTCATGATGGGCTTCTGGCTTCTCCACATAAACCTGCTTGCCATTTGCTGGGTCCCACAGGTCTTCCTTGCCAGGCCTTTGCCTAAGTTGTACTAGCCACATGGACTAATATCTCCCTTGTTTCTGTGTGTCCACATCCTGTCAACTCTTTGAGGCCACCTTCCTTCCTGAAACCATCCCCACTCTCTCTATGAAACCTTCATCTGAAAACCTGTTATGTGTTGACCTGTGTCCCCTCAAAAGAAGTTGTTGTTGTTGTTATTTGCCATAGAGTCGGCCCCGACTCCTAGCGACCCCTCCTTGGGTTTCCAAGGCAGTTATCACTATGGAAGTAGGATTGCCCAACCTTGCTTCCGAGGAGTGGCTGGTGGGTTTGAACCGCCAGCCTCCTGGTTAGCAGTCAAGTGCCTTAGGCACTATGCTACCAGAGCTCCCTCAAAAGAAGTAGTGAGATCTTAATCCCTATTCCATTGGAAAAAGGGTTCTCTTGTTATGTTGATGAGCCCGTATCATTGTAGAGTATGTCCTAAACCTAATCACTTCTGAGTTATAAGGAGCAGTATAGACAGAGACAACCCCCCACACACAAAAACAAACCTACTACCATTCCAACTCATAATGACCTCCATTGGGTTTCTGAGGCAGCAAATCTTTACGGAAGTAGATTGTCCCACCTTCCCCTCATGGAGCAGCTGGTGGATTTGAACTGCCCCCTTCTGGTTAGCAGTTAAATGGCTTAGGCACTGTACCACCACAGCTCCTTATAGACAGAGATAAGGAAGCACATATGGGGGAAAGCCAGATGCCATGTAAAGATCTCTAATGAACCAAAGAATGCTGGGAGACAAGGGTCTTCCCCAGAGCTGGCAGAGAGAGGCTCTTCCTCCATAGCCAATGCCCTGAATTCAGACCTCTAGCATCCTGAACTATGAGACAACCAACTTCTGTTCTTTAAAGCCCTCGACCTGGAACCTAAACATCCTTCTTGGGAAATGTTTCACTGTACACTGGTGGAAAAGGTGTGTGAGGGCATAACTCTCTTTCCTTGCTATTCTGTAGCCTAGCCCAGGCCTCATGCTGTTTGACTCTTCCTCAGGGCCAAGAACAAGGTTTTGCAATTCACCAGTGCCCAATAGTGCTGGTTGATTATGACACGTGTGGGTGGTTTGCAGTTAGACATTCAGCTGCTAACCAGAAGGTCAGTGGTTCAAACCTACCAGCTGCTCTGTGGGAGGAAGATTAGGCAATCTACTTCCATAAAGATTTATAGCCTTGGTGAACTATTAGGTATGTCTATGAAGCAGGGAGTGTATACCCAGGACCATGTATATATAGGGTTGGCAGACAATGGTCCTATAAGTGTATTTGTATGATCTGAATTCCCAGGTGTATAGTAGAGCTGACAAGGGACAGGTTGTAGTCACTTCTTGGTCACAGCCAGCTACTCAGTGGGACCGAGTAGTTGAACCTGTGGGCTCGGGACCATAGTCACAGGCAACATCAAGCTCAATTGGCATAACATACTACACGAAACATTGTTCCACCTCCTACTTTGGCGAGTAGCAACTGGGATCTTAAAAGCTTGCAAGCAGCCATCTAGATGCAACGATAGGTCTCTCCTTGTCCAGGGCAAAGAAGAAAGAATACCAAAGATTCATTGAAACAATTAGTCCTAGTGACTGGAACACCATGCAATCTGCAGCCTATATGACCATAAGACCAGAAGAAATAGATGGTGCCTGGCTACCACTGTCAACCACTCGGAGGGGGATCTATGTAGGGGATCCTGGACAGAGAGGGAGAACAATGTGGAACAAAACTCAAAATCATTTAGGAAAAAAAAAAAAAGGGAGGGGGGGACCAGGTTTGCTGGTCTGATAGAGCCTGGTGGAACCACTGAGACTATGGCCCCTAGCTGCCCTTCAGGTCTGGAATTGAACCCACACCTGTGGCTTCCAGCCAAACAAAAGACAGGAATAGGAGTTGAACATTTACCTGAAGTAGATACACTCCTTAGAGAGATCAATTGTGGGAGAAAGAAGGGCTGTTTATGTACAGGGTGACAGCTCAAGGGGCAGGAGTGCATGGAGGGATGGACACAGGGAAGAGGTAACTATGAGGAGGAAGTGGGAGGGGAGCTGTTGCACTGTGGTAAATTGTAGTCAATGTCATGAGACAAAATGTATATGGAAAGTGAATTTGCTCTGTAAATTTTCACTCAAATCACAATAAAAAAAAATTGAAAAAAAGATTTACAGCCTTGGAAACCCAATGGGGGTCACTATAAATTGACTCATTAGCAGTGGGGTTTTTTTGACGGGGAGGGGGGTTAGGGTGGTTTGCAAGCTATAGACACCTGTCTCCCAAAGCAAAAACACCAAACCAGTTGCCATCAAGTCAACTCTAACTCACAATGACTCTACGTGTGTCAGAGTAGAACTATGTTCCAGAGGGTTTTCAATGGCTAAGTGTACAGAAGTAAGTCACCAGACCTTTCTTCCAAGATGCCTCTGGGTGGAATTGAACTTCAAACCTTATAGTTAGCAGCCGAGTGCGTTAATTGTTTGTATCACCCAGCGACTCCCACCTATGTCCCATGTAGGAGTAAATCTTTGATGTGTAAAAAGAGCCCTGTTTAGAGTTTACAAAGACTTTCTCTTGGTTTACCCTTTCAGTTGTTGGCAACTTATTACTAGAAATACATAGGAAATACCAGTTGGAATAGTTTGCCTACTTGCCTTCCTAAATCTCCCCTCAAAAAAAACTGGGTAGTACCAATAGCCTTAGCCAGAAATGGAAATGGTGAAGAATTAAGAAAGGAAAGGAAACTCTATGGGGCTGACTAGGGCAGGGAGGTAGACTGATCCCTAGTTTCTGCTTTCCTAATGCAGTCTCAAAGAATAGAAATAATAGCTGAGCTATTTTTTTTAAAGAATAAAATGCATAACAAAAAAAAAAAAAAGGTACCATAAGCCCATCAGAAATTGTGAGGAATCCCTGAGAGAAGACTGGGTTAGTCAATAATTAATTTGCCAAAAAATACCATCGCCCCAACAAGTACTTGAGAGGAATGCTGGGAGAAGAGAGTGACTGCATGAGTGCAAGTCCCCGTCCCCACCCTCTACGCAGCTTTTTCCAAGCAGCAGGCAGCAACGGTGGGCCAGAGAGGCAGCAAAATGTCTCCAGGGGTTGACAGTCCTCAGGAGAAGTAAGGAGCAAGCCCCCAGTTGGAAAACAAAATACCAGAGCTCCCCACTAGGAAGAAAGTCCTGCCCCTCTTCCTGGGATAGCTATAGGATGAGGGGCAGATGAGCAGAAGCCAGAACCAACCAAGCATCCAGGAAAATTCTCACCAGGAAAGAGGTACCAATTCAACCCATGAAAGAACTGACACCCAAAGAAACAAAATGAATAGAGAGTCTAGAAGGAGACTTAAAAGAAGCGTACTTTGAAAGCTTTTAACAAGATATTATTAAGAAAGGATGCTGCATGCATAAATCAAGAACATACTGTTTTGTTAAAAAAAAACTTTGGATCTGGAAAATGAAAAATGATTAGAATGTGCCCATCTCTGGGAAGGGTCATCCTGAGCTCTTGTCTGCCCTCCTCCCCTATCTGGACAAGACTTCTTCTGCTCCTTTCATTTGACGCTGGATATATGGTCCCCTCAACCCCTTCTTATGATGGAAAGCACGTAAGACACAGAAAATTATTTGCAGCCACCTACAGAAAGGAAAATAAATCCAATGTTCCAGCTCTTCTCTTAGAAACATGTTAGAGAGTGGGTCTTATTTCATAAAATCAGGGGTCTGAAGGGCAGAAAAAGGAGCTCTGGTGGCATAGTACCTAAGGCATTTGACTGCTAACCAGAAGGTTGGCTGTTCAAACCCACTAGCTGCTCTGCAGAAAGACCATGGGGCAATTTACTTCTGTAAAGATTTACCACCTTGGAAACTCAATGGAGGTTGTTATGAGTTGGAATTGACTCGATGGCACTGGGTCTGCTTTTGGTTTGGAGGGGCAGAAAAGGCCTGCTTAAAACATGCCTCAGGTAGGTAATATATCATCCCCACTGTGGTAGTTCAGTTTGTGTGTCAACTTGCCTGGACCTGGTTGAGTGGGTGGGCAGCTGGTGGCAGTTGTTCCCCATGATGAGACTGGCAATCAACTCCACGGTGGATTCTACTACAAGCAGCTGACTAGCTGTTTTGGGTATGTGGTCTGCTTCCCGTATATAAGCAGCAGCTTTGGGAATGGTCTCTAGCTTATGGCACGTGTGGATCCTGCATGTAGCCATGTCATTGTTCAGCAGCTTGCCATGCTCTGTCCTTGGGACTTTCAATGGACTTGAATTAATGGCCTGCCATGTGGTTTGGTAACATCGGGACTGTGCCATTTTATTTGTCAACCTTGGGCTTGTTAGCCTCAACAGCCAGTAGCTGCCTGGGTGAAGAGATGCCTCTAGCTTCAGTGGGCCGGGAGCAAGAGGCAGAGCTGAAGCCCAAGGTCAAGGGGCTTTCACATAGCCTCTAGAGCCTGGCACTTTGAACTTGGACTTAAAGCCTCCAAATTGTGAGAGAATAAACTCCTGTTTGTTAAGGCCATCCCATTTGTGATATTCTTGTCAGAGCAGCACTAGGTAACCAGAACACCCACTTTACAGATGAACAAGTGAGGCTGGCAGACATTAAACAACTTGCCCAAATCTATATTTGCATTCTGACTTGCTGCTTCCTGGCTGTGTGTGATCTTGGGCAATCCCTCTAAGCCTGTTTTTCCATCTGTAAAATGGGAAGAATAATGCCAATCATAAGGATATTGTGAAAGTAAAGGAAATAAGATACCTAAAGTACTTATCACAGAGCCTGGCACATTGCAGGCTCTCCCTTACCCCCACCAGGCATCCCTGCTGTCCTGGTGTGGTTATTTCAGTTCAATTTCTCATTCTAGAAGCTCAAAGCAGAGCTACAGGTTTTTTCAAATAAGAAAACACATAAGAGTGTGTCTTACAGACTGTAAGGCATAGTACAAATACATATCATTCTAGCACTTGCTTTAGAATAATACAGTGTAACAATATCAACTGCCCTGGTTGGAGCCCAGGGTAGAGTCAACAAGGCATTTCAGAGCACTCCTGACAAATTTAAAAAAATTAACAGCATCTGCTCCTTGCTTGTTTGTTTCCCAATATATGTATACATGTCTACATTATTATCACTTAAAAGGGTTTGGAAAGCAGTAGAGGAAAGGGAGAACTGAGAGAAAGGAAATAAAGAGAAAACTCCTTCATCAGGAAACCAATAGTGGCTGAGTTGTTGTTGTTGTTGTTATGTGCTGTTGAGTTGGACCCGACTCACAGCAACCCCTCCTTGGGTGAGTGGTTGAAGGTAAACAATAGTTATCATACTCAGGTTTTGACTTGAGGTCCTGGGTGGAATAAACAATTTACACTCAACTACTAAAGGTTGGTGGTTTGAACCCACTGAGAGGTGCCATGGAAAAAAGGCCTGGTGATCTACTCCTATAAGACTGTAGCCAAGAAAGCTCTATGGAACTCAGTTCTATTCTGTAACATGGGAGGGCACCAGGAGTCGTAATCAATCTGATGGCAACAGGTTTGGTTTTAGTTACGTGCTTCTCAGCACAGTATTCCAACTATTTGTTATCTTTAAACCTTTAGGTGTTATTGTTGTTGTTGTTATGTGCCATTGAGTTGGAACCGACTCATAGCGACCCCTCCTTGGGTTTCTGAGACAGTATCACTACAGAAGTAGAAGTAGATTGCCCCATCTTCCTTCCGAGAAGTGGCTGATGGGTTTGAACCGCCAGGGCCAGCAAATACCTGATATATGTCTGCCTCTCTTTTGGAAGTAGATTATCTGCATTTAAAGCTTCCTTGAGCTGATCTGGGACCTGAGCCTTGGGAAGAGTGGGCAGAAACAGCCTGAAAGGCTACCAGGGCCCAGGCAGATGGAAAACTTAGCTCAGCCAGAGTCTGTGGTCCCGAGGATACTGGCAGGGTCTGCCAGCCTCATAGCATGCCTGGGCACAAACCCAACAGGTAAGGCCACCTTACAGGGCTGGTAGACCAGGATTGAGGGCCAACTTCTGCCTCGACAGATCTAGTCTTTCTTTGCTTCAGGGTAAGGCACTCTCAGCAACTCCAGCTTCTGGAACAAAACTCCAATTGGACAGCCTGCCAAGTGCTTAAACTGGAGCCTTTCACCACCATCTGCCCTCTTTCTTCAAAACTGCTGACTCATGAGTCAAGCCCAGAGCACTTGCCCCATAGCCTCTTGGGAAAACAGGACAATCTGCTATGCAAGGAGCCATGCAGCCAGCCACAAATTTGAGCTGTTTACAAACCCCCTGGGAGAGAGCTCTGGCCTTTAGACACAGCCTGAGTTAATGCAGAAGGGATAACAGCCCCAAAGCCCTTTTTCATGTCCTTCTACCAGCAAACCGCAGGGACCAAGGCATTCATTCTTGGTCCAATAAGGTACCTCATCAATATGTCTTGGTATCAATGTATCGTATGTACTCACCTATGGTGGCTGGAAGGTGCATTGTAGCAGAAGCTTGGGAAGTGAATGCACTGAAACATAGAACAAAAGGCTTTAGGGTCAAGCAAGTGGTGAATCGGGGTGCCTGTTCTGGTCTCCCACCTGCAGGCTCAGCCCAGATTACCCCCAGAATCATGCTTCAATTCCTTCAGTGGAAAGCTCCAAGCTGCACTGGGGCCAGAGCTTGGGTGAACCAGGCCACAGCAGGCACTAAAGCCAAGGCTGCCTCTTCTGGTTCTATGTTCCACTCTAGGAAATGGGTTTAACTTACTCCTATTCTGAAAACCAGTCAAGAGAACACATGATGCTAATGAGGAATAGTGAAGTGAATGAGAGAATGGGCCAGTGGGCCTGACTGGTCTAAGAAGCACCAGGGCAAGCCCAGTGTGCCCACAGTCCTTTGCCAACCTGCAGCCCAGGCAGGGGCTAGATGCAGGTGGATGTGACTCAACAAGGCCAAAGCAGCCAAGCAGCAACTCAGAGTAGCGCCAACTACCATACTGTTCTTGTCAACCCTGCCTTGTCCCCTCTCCCCACCAATGTCCACATGTCCCTCACCACTTCCGAAGCTCTGTGTCATCTCTAAGCCTGACGTGGCTGGCAGACAGCAAGCTCTGCAACAATGCTCTCACCTCCTTCCAGGCAGGCTGTCCCAGGCCCATGAAGCTATTGAGGGTTGGCTAAGACCAAAACAGGGAGAAGGATCAGACATGGGAAAACCCTGGGGGGTATCCCTCCTGTTAATGGGAGTCCTGCTGGCCAGGGCCCTGCCACTTATCTCCAGTTCACTGCACCTCTCAAGAACTTAGTTCTTAGTTTTGTCATTTAGCCATCAAGTAAAAGAAAGGTATCACCTTTCTGTGATGGGGCTTCAAGCCTTCATGGACTTGTACACAGTTGTCAAAGCTCAGGAGCTGCCACTTCTAATGACTAAACCTGTTACCTTAGTTAACTGGTGCTGCTGTAACAAAAATAACACAAGTAGGAGGCTTTAAAGAATAGGAATTTTTTTTTTAACAGTTCTGGAGTCTAAAAGTCCAAATGAGGGTCTCAGCCATGTCAGTTCCTTCCATGAATCTCTCTCCTCATTTCTGATGGTTGCCATCAGTCCATGGCAGTCCTTGGCATCTGTCTACCCTGTGTGTGTGTCTGTGCCTAATCTTCTCCTTTCATCATGCAGAAGTGATTAGGTTTAGGACTCATCCTACAGTAATATGACATCATTAACATAACAAAAGAAAACCTCATTTTCAAACAGGATCACATCCATACATTCTAGGGGGACGCAACTCAATCCATGACACCTGTTAAGTTTGCCCTGGGCTGCAATAGAAGGGGGTGACCACTCCAGTCTTCAAGGGGGCTCCTAGCCTAAACTGATCCCCTTCATGGAGGTTACAAAAAAAAGGTGTCTTGGGGAAAAAGGGGAATTATATCTTAATGGGAACTGAGTTTCTGTTTAGGATGATGAAAAAATTTTAGAAATAATAGTGATGGTTGTACAATATGGTGAATGTAAGTAATGTCACTTAAAATGGTTAAGATGGCAAAGTTTATGTTATATATATTTAAACACAATAATTTTTTAAGTGAAGTTTCTTAGCCGGTGAGATAACAACAAAAAAGCATTTCGCAACTCTAAAGGTTGGATTCACACCCCTAGCCCCAGTACTTCTGGCTGTGTGATGCTGGACAAATTATGCCTCATTTCTGATGCTCAGTCCTCATCTATCTAATAAGGGTTACAATTCAGATGCTAGAGGGTCATAGTGAGGACTAATTAGAGCTGTGTGAACCTCCTAGCACAGGGCTTGGCACATAGTAGGTGCTCAATAAACATGACTCTCTTCTTGATGCATGGAACAGGCAGATTAACATCAAAATACCTGACCCTTTGCAGGGAAGTAGATTCCATCTCACATGTGCATGCACTTCAGGCCAAGGCCATCTGTCTACTCTTCCCAGCCTATACCTACAGACCTGGAGGGCAGGACTCTTGGCTCATGGCTCCCTCCTTAAGAGGACCTCAGACAGACAGACAAGGCTCAAACAGCTCAATGAGGATGTTAACTAGTTTTGTTAAGGAGCCTCATCTCTCCAACTGGGAATACTGAGGTCTGCAAACCAGACATTGACTCCAGAGCATTCCATTTGGTCTCAAGGCATCTAGGAACCTACTCCAAGGTATCCCAAGGCCATTTCTGTCAGCCTATCTGTCTCAGAACAACCCCAGCCATATCCAGCTAATACTGCTGTACCGGAATTTACTGTCTCTATCAGAAATGCCCTCCAAAAATGGAGAGCAAAGAGCACTTTCTGGAAGTATTTGCAACAAGTGCTACTAAAATCAGAGACCAGCCATGTAATAATGCCCTACCTGGTCAAAGACATCCTGGTGTTTGGAGAGGACAGGCCCAGTGAAGAGGTGCTTAATGACGCTAAGGTCCAGGATCTGGTCACCAATCGCCACGCCAATCCTCGGTCTTGGCTGGGAGGCAGAAGGCATGGTCAACACCAGGGAAAAGCCTTGGAGAGGGTTTGGCTCATTTGCAAGGAAAGCCTGTCTTATGTAAGAAATGCTCGTTCCCCCATTAATGGCCCTCTTCACAGAGCAGACAGGAATTCCATCCTTAACATCCTACCCCAACTCCCTGGGCTTCAACTGGGCTGAAATTGCCCTTGTGTTCTCTGCCCAGACAGAACCTGCTGCCATCTCTGCTTCCAGAACAAAGAATCTGCATCTGCTGAATGGGAAACAAGTCAAATACCTGAAACACAACCCCTTGGTACAGGGAAGGAGCATGTACCTAGTCCAAGGCCCTTATCCAGGGACCAATAAAATCAGTTGCAGAAGAGTCAATGCTAATTCATGGTGACCCCACATGTGCAGAATAGAACTATACTCCACAGGTATTTCAATGGCTGATTTTTCAGAAGTAGATTACCAGGGCCTTCTTCTTAGGGGCCTCTGGGTAGACTTGAACATTTCAGTTAGCAGTTGAGCACATTAACCATTTGTACCCAAAACCAAAAACCAAACCCACTCCCATCGAGTCAACTCCAACTCATAGCAACCCTACAGGACAGAGGAAAATTGCCCTACGGGGTTTTCAAGGCTATAATTATGGAAGCAGACAGCCTCATCTTTCTCCCATGGAGCAGCTGGTAGGTTCAAACTGCTGATGTTTTGGTTAGCAGCCCAATGTTTTAACCACAGTGCCAGCAGAGCTCCTTTTATACCACCCATGGACTTCCTACTCAGAGACAGTCCTCAGCTTAAAAGGGCCCACTGATGGTTCCCCAGATGTAGCTTAAATGTCTCCAGTGGTGAGGAGCTGGCCACTTTACCAGGCAGCTGGTTTATGTTTCAAGTTTAACGTACGCTCAAGGGATTTCTTTATGCAGCAGAGCAGTGAGCACTGCACACACAGTGCCAAGAGCCCCCGTCTTGGGTGAATGAGCTGTTGTGCTCAAAAGGAGCAGAGCTCAGGTCAGGAGGAGCATAAAGCCCAACTGCCCAGAATGTGCAGGGCAAGTTCCTTTCTGCACCATAAAATCTCACCATTGGAGCTGACTATTAACCTTTCTCAAATATTTGGGGAAAGCTTGGTCTTTGTCCCCATGGCCCTGAGCTTTGCTCATCAAAGCCAGGAACCCAAGAGCATGTTTGTGGAACAGATCTCCTCAGGCTCCTCCTGAGCCCGACTTCCAGTTCTCCTGACCCTGTGACTTATTTCTCTGCCATTTCACATTTCAGCGCCAGGAAGTGCATAAGTAGGCCTGCTTTAGTTAGGCGTCGTCAAGTGTACTTTTACTCCTCAAGATCCCATTTGACAGAGCAGAACTGCCCCATAGGGTCTTCTTGGTTGTCATTTTTACAGAAGCAGATCACTAGTTCTTTCTCCTCAGTAGGTGGGTTTGAATCGCCAACCTTTTGGTTAGCAGCCAAGCATTTAACCATTTGCAACACCAGGGCTCTTTAGAGATAGACCCACTAGCTGGCTTTATCTCCATTGGTTGCTCATTCTGGCAGGCTGAGAGAAGATGGATTAACCATCTCTCTATGATCCAGGGGTGGACAGAAGGCATCTTTGCCCGGCAGCTGTAAGAAGGAATGAGTAGCCTGGCTGTCGTCCCCAGCTCTACTGCGAGCTGCCCTGGAAAGTAACAACTTTTGCAATGGGCAAGGAGCTGGGCCACCTGGACCTGATTACCATCCACTCATGTGCAGGGCAGACCCTTGGTCATTTCTCTGACCCTCGCTCCACACCCAGCTAAAAGCAAGATGGAACCGCCACCATTGACAAACCTCCAAAATCTAGTCAGAAGTTGTGATTGCCTGCTTCCTCAGCTGCAACAAACCCAAAAGCACCAGAAGGAAGTTACTGCCCTTATGCTCCAAACTAAGGCCTAAGGAGCCAGAAACAGAGTTTAGAGAGTGAGTGCCTATACATTAGACCTTAGGAGTTAGTATCATCAGTGCCATTCTAGAAGGGACTCACAGCTGGGACGCAGCACTCCTGTATTCTCAGCCTGCTCATTTACCATCCTGTCAGCTTGGACAAGTTCCTGGTCCTCTCTGGAACTCAGGTTACCATCTCTATGTTGAGGGAAGTGAATGAGGGAGAGACACCCCATTTTTCTAACTCTAAGAGAATTAATGTGCACTGTCTCTTTTATAACATTTGGTCATATCTGAAATACAGTTGTTCAAAGGAAAATTTAACTCAACTCCTAGTGAGATGTAGAACGGAAAAAGTATGGGGTGTGGAGGCTGACAGATGTGAATTCCAACTCCAAATCTGCCTGTTACTGGCTGTGAAACCTGGAGCATGATTTTTAGTCTCTTTGAGCCTCAGATTCCCCATCTGTAAAATGGGGAATAAAACAAAGGCAGGTTTGTTGTGAGAATTCAACTGATTAATATCTGTAAATCTCTCATCACAAGAGCAGACACAAGGTAGATATTTGCTCATACATTTACTGAGCATCTACTACACACCAGCAAACTCCAAGGCTGCTAAGGCCCTAGGAATAGAGAGGAGTCACTCGGTTCCTGCCCTCAAGAAGCAAAGGGAAACAATAAGGGGTAGGGATGGGCAAGAACCATGGTAGGGGTACAGGGGGGACTCATTCTGGAGGATATTTAGGGGAGGTCTCTGAGAAGGTGACATTTAAGCTGACTCCTGAAGAGTGAGAAGAAACCAGAGTAGAAGGAAGAGCATTCCATATGTAAGGAATAGCATATGCTAAGGCCCCAGGACGGAAAACTGCTATTGGCATGTTCTAAAAAATCAACAGCAGCTAGTGTGCCTGGGGAAAAGAAGATGACCAGGAGGCAGAGGCAGGGCCAGACCACAGGGGCTTTAACAAGGCACTCAGCAAATCAGCTCCAGGCGACTGCAGTCCTCCATTTCTCAGAGGTCACTGTCCCTACCTTTAAAGTGTTGCTATTGTTAGATGACATCAGTTCGGTTCTGACTCATAGTTACCCTATGTACAACAAAACAAAAGAGTGCCCAGTCCTGTGCCCTCCTCACAATCGCTGCTGGACTTGAGTCCATCATTGCAGCCACTGTGTCAATCCATCCTGCTGAGGAGCTCCCTCTTTCCACTGATGTTACCAAGCATGATGTCTTTCTCCAGGGACCATTCCTCCTGGTAACATGTCCACAGTACATGAAACCAAGTCTCAATATCCTTACTTTTAAGAAGCTTTCTGGCTGTACTTCTTCCAAGAAAGATTTGTTCATTTTTCTGGCAGTCCATAGTATATTCAATATTCTTCACCAACACCATAATTCAAATGCATGCATGCTTCTTCAGTCTTCCTTATTCATTGTCTTGTTTTCATATGCATATGAGGTGATTAAAAATACCATGGCTTGAAAATACCTTTACATTGAGTATGCATATATCACATAGAATACATACATACATGTATATACATTTCTACTTATCTATGTATATATCTATATTTATATATAACATAAATATAAAGCTATATTTATATAGAGATATATACCTAGATAAATATATATATATATATACATAGATATATACATATCTATATATAGCTAGCTAGCTAGCTATCTATCTATCTATATACATCTAATTCAATCTCACTGACATCAGGTCGGATCCGACTCACAGCAACCCCTCCTTGGGTTTCCCGGGCAGTATCACTACAGAAAATAGACTTTGGTCTTCCTTATGAGGAGTGGCTGGTGGGTTTGAACCGCCAACCTTCTGATTAGCAGTCAAATGCCTTAGTCACTACACCACCAGAGCTCCCATATATAGATAGATAGATAGATAGATAGATAGATATACACATATACATACATAGATATATACATAGATAAGTAGTATATACATGTATATATGTACTCCATTTGATATATATATATACTCAATGTAAAGGTATTTTCAAGCCATGGTATTTTCAATCACCTCACATGCATGCGAAAGCATGAAGATGAATAAGGAAGACCGAAGAAGTTTTATACATACATAGAGCATATATATATATATAAATTACATACATATAATATATGCTCTACTAGTCCATAAGCAAGGAGCCCTGGTAGCACAATGGTTAAGCACTCAGCTGCTAAATGAAAGGCTGGTGGTTTGAACCCACCAGTGGCTCCATGGGAGAAAATCTACTCCTGCTAAAAAAAAAAATACAGCCTAAGAAACCCTATGCGAGGAGCTCTGGTGGCGCAGTGCCTAAGACACTTGACTGCTAACCAGAAGGCTGGCAGTTCAAACCCAACAGCCACTCCTCAGAAGGAAGGCTGGGCAATCTACTTCTGTAGTGATACGGCCTCGGAAACCCAAGGAGGGGTCACTTTGAGTCGGATCTGACTCGATGACAGTATGTTTGGGTTCCTTTTTGGTTAAGAAATCCTATAGGCAAGTTCTACTTTGTTATATAGGGTTGGTATGAGTCAGAATCCACTCGATGGCACACAGTAACAATCCATGAGCAACCTCCAACTAGGGAAGATATCTCATATGTCTTTGATTCAAACATCTGTCTGGGGTTTTATAGTTGAAAGCTAAATCAGGAGTTTACCTTTAAAGTTGGGGACAGAAATTCAAGTAAAAAATACCATAAACAGTTCTGAGTGGCTCTGCTTTCCCTACCCAGGAACCTGCTGATTATTTATTTCCTGATAAATAAACCCCCAGTTTTCTACGATATCTCTGTGCTAATCAGGATCTAAGATGGGTTAGTCTCTGGGTCTAGTCCAAAGTTTGGGCTTATAAAGCTTTGTTGAATAAAAGGATGAATGAAATGATGGCTAGATTAATTCACTATTGTTCCACTCAAATTACAATGGGTCAGAACCAAATCAAAGGCAATGGGTTTGTTTTATTGGTTTGGGAATTGACATGGGGGAAGGGGCGGCCTTGCCATGGCATATAGACCAGCCTGGAGAAGCAGCTCCGGTTCTTGGAATGTTCAAGCCCCACAGTGGTAGCTTCAGACAAGGCCTGTTCACCTTGAAGGCTCTCAGCCTTCTGGAATGCCAAGGGGATCGCCTCCGCTCACCTCAGCACTCTTATCAGAGGGCAGTGAGAAGGGGCTCTCTCCCCCAGATCACCCTGTTTGCTATCTAATGCACATTCTAATATGGAAACAGCAAGACATAGTATCTGAAGGCCCACTGTTGCACTCTAACAAAAGAAAAGCCAAACTCACTGCCATTCAGTCCATTCCAACTCATAGCGACACCCATTGGGTTTCCAAGGCAATAAATCTTTATGGAAGTAGACTGCTCCATCTTCTTCCTTCTGCAGAGTGGCTGGTGAGTTTGAACCTCCAACCTTCTAGTTAGCAATCAAATGTCCTAGGCACTGTACCACCAGAGCTCCTTAGTTGCACTCTAAAGAAACAAAAAAAAAAAAAAGGAGCTCTGGTGGCATAGTGCCTAAGGCATCTGACTGCTAACCAGAAGGCTGGCTGTTCAAATCTACCAGCCACTCCTCGGAAGGAAGATTGGGCAATCTACTTACATCCTGATACCGCCTTGGAAACCCAAGGAGGGGTCACTATGAGTCAGAAACAAGAGGCATTAATTCCAGATTCTTCTGGGAAAACAAGCCAGAGGACCCTAAGGAGGTATGCCTGCCACTTGTCAATGTTTCCTTCTAATCTATTTGTGCTCCCAGGAAAGATGAGGGCACCTTGCTGAGAGCAAAGTATCAGAGGAGTACAGAGGGAGGGCTCAGTATGAAGAGAGGGTAGTTGGGTAACTGGGGTTAAGTTTTAACATGCTTTGTATTTTATCCCTGGGTGGGAGGTTGGGGCAGTGTAGTGTCAACTTCTTGTGTCCTTGAACATCTGATCAGGTCTAGCAATTGTGAGACCAAAAGTTGACTCTTCCAGACCAAGGCATTGGCCACAGGCAGGACACAAAAGCCAGCCACTTGGGGCCAACAACTAGCCATGAGGGATCGGGCTGACTGCCAGGAGCCCCCTTTAGCAAACATTTCTTAAACACTGTTGGGTGCAAGCAGAGTCTGGAATTCTATGGTTTATGGAGAAGTTCCTGAGTGGTACAGTTAACATGCTAAACTGCTGAGAGGTTGGAGGGTGAGGTCACCAAGATGTACCTTGGAAGGCCTGGAGATGTACTTCCAAAGAACCTGCCATTGGAAACCCTATGAGGTACAGTTCTATTCTGATACATATGGGTTTGTGGTGAGTGGGAACCAACTACATGGCAACTATCTCATCACAGAGCTGATTCAGTAGTTTACCTTTGAAGTTAGGAGCAGAAATCCAAGCAAAAAATACCATAAATGATTCCAACGGAATCTCTTTCCTCATCCAGGAATCACCTGATTATATATAAAACCCAAACCAAACCCACTGCCACCTAGTCGATTCCGACTCACAGCAGCGCCTATTAGGTTTCCAAGGGGGTAAACCTTTAGGGAGATAGATTGCCTCATCTTCCTTCCGCAGAGTGGCTGGTGGATATATATTTATATATTTGCTAGTCAATTCCACGTTTTCTAAGATGTCTTATACCAACCAGACTGCACTTACTGACAATTCGTTTCCCTGCCCAAAAGGGCTTCTAATCAGCAAGAAAATGCCAATGAACCCACACTACGGAGCTGAAGGAATTCCAGCTGGAGGCAAAGAAACTTGACATCTTAGATCCTGCCGCAGCTCCGCCGCCAGGAAATGCGTGCGCTGAAAATACCGGGGTGAATTAACGCTCCCGCAGGGAAAAGAAAAATACTCCAAGAAATTTTGGAGTAGGCAGCATGATTGCTTCAATTTCTCGGTAATAAGAAATGTACTTGCTCTGCTTGTCTGGAGGGAGGTTTACATATTTTATTTCATCTTGCATTTAATTCTCATATAACTCTGCAAAAACTGAGGCTGAAAGGTTAAATAACTTTCACAGCTAGACAGTTACCCGGCGGTTTTCGAACTTACGCGCACTACCCATGGATGGCTCTTCAAGAGACATACCCCCATGCCTCCATGCACCCACTCTTCCCCACTCCGAAGGGCGGGAACGGGAAAGAAGGCTAAAAGCTCCTCAACTGACAAGGGTCTTCAAGAGTTCTAGCAAGGGAAAGGATGGAGCCAAAGGGCCTGGGTCGGGTGCTGGAAAGAGGTAAAAGGGATGGACGATGACTCAAGGTGGTGGGGGGAAGGGTGAGCAGGTGTCCCAGCCCGAGCGGGTGCCCTCCCTTCGCGAGCCGAAGCGCAGCAGCTCACGTTGGTTTTTGTGGAGAAGACGCCGTAAGGCAGGTTGTGTATGGAGAAGTCGGAATCCTCTGCCACCGGGACGAAGGACATGCTGGCGAGCACTATCAAGAAGGTGGGCGGCGGGCGACGGGTGGCTGGCAGCCGGCAGCAACCGGAACTGGTCTAGGCCGGGGCGGTCAAGCTGAACATCACGCGGCCCTTGCATACTCCGAACACCCCCCTCGGACCCGCCCCCGGACCCGCCCTCCAGACCCGCCCCCCAAAGCCCGCCCCCCAGGCCCGCGCCCCAGGCCCGCCCCACACGGCGGCTCGCCCCAGCGACCTATCGACTCCTTCCACATGTCCCTGCCCCTTCCCCAGCCCCGCCCCTGAGCAAGCCTCCCCGTGCCCCTCCTAGGTGCCATCTCCCTGGAGCCGTCCCTGTAGTCGCGGGCTCAGGGCTCTTGGTCCCACCGAGAGTCGACCCCCATCTTCGCATTTAAGACTGCTTTTCAGCCTCATTTCCCCAGCTGCATGCCTTGCTCTCCAGCTCCACAGAACTCTTGTCTGTTTCCCGGACACAGTATACACTTGCTCCTCAGACGCTGTCTCCTGGTCTTCGGAAGGATATTTTCAGTAGCGTCCTCTCTGCCATTCAGTCAGTTGTGACTCATAGCTACCCTATGTTGTTATTATGTGCCATCGAGTCAAACCTGACTTATAGCAACCCCTCCTTGGGTTTCCGAGGCAGTATCATTACGGAAGTAGATTGCCCAACCTTCCGAGGAGTAGCTGATAGGTTTGAACAGCCAGCCTTCTGGTTAGCAATCAAATGCCTTAGACACTAGGCTACCAGAGCTCCTCATCTACCCTATAGGGTCTCCCTTTCACTGACACATAAGTGGAAATATCATAGCTGGACAGATTAACATGGTTAATAAAAGCTACCCTATAGGGTCTGCCTTTATTAACCGTGTTAATCTGTCCAGCTATGATATTTCCACTTACATGTCACCGTGAAAAGGATAATGCCGGTTTTGGAGGGTTAAAAGTATGTTGACAGCTGTTTGACCTTGGACAAGTTACTTAACTACTCTGTGCCTCAGCTTACTGTTCTGAACAACGCGAAAAATAATAATACATCGTTCCTACTTCACAGAGTTGATACATGAAGGAAATGAATTAATGTTTGTAAAGTGCTTAGGATAGTGCCTGGCTCAAGGAAACTTACAGACGTGTTTTTTTTAAAAAAAAAGAAGGGAGGAAAGAAGGAAGGGTGGAAAAAGTTAACATCTTAATTCTTTTCCCAATGGAGGTATTATGCCTTAGGAACTCAGCTTGTCTGGGTTTGTCAGATTATTTGACAAGTTTAGCTGTTTAACCTTGGGCAACTCAAGCTCTGCAAACAATTTTGGTAAATTTGTAAAATGAGAGTAAAAATAACACCTGTTGTTGTTGTGTGCCTTCGAGTCAGACCTGACTTATAGCGACCCCTCCTTGGGTTTCCAAAGCAGTATCACTACAGAAGTAGATTGCCCCATCTTCTTTCCAAGGAGTGGCTGGTGGGTTTGAATCGCCAGCCTTCTGGTTAGCAGTCAGGTGCCTTAGGCACTACGTTACCAGAGCTCCCAAAATAATACCTACTCAGTAGGATTTCTTTGATGGTCAAATAATGCCTTATCACATTAGTGATTAATTCGCTCCCTTCCCGCCTTCCACCCCCACCCCACCGCCTTCCACTCCCACCCCACCATACCATCCAACCAGAAAACCAGCCACTCCTTTGTTTCTGGGTTTTTCTTTTTCTTTTTCTTTTTTCTTTATGAAAATGACATAATTTTAAAAAAAAAGAGAGAGAGAGAAACAGAGACAGAACACACTATGAAAAGTGGTCATTGTTAAAAATACATGTAAAATGTAAATACAAATTTCTTAGAAACCTAACAAAATTTTTTCTTTAGAAAAGAATAAAATTATAAAAGGTATAGGATGAATATTAATTATAAATACATGAACCAGTATTTGAAACACTTTCAATTAATTTGCTTTGGACATTTCTTGTATTATTAGCATCAAAAGTTAATGAATTAGTGGACACACAAACAGAACTGACTGAAGATAAATGTAAGCCAAAATCTCAGAAATCATTTTGAAAGTTTATGAAACTAACCCTCCCCTTCAAAAGCATTGCTTAAATGAGTAATGCTACACAGGCAGAAAGACTTAAAAATAAGCAAGAAGTTGCAAGTCTTGCCTGGAACATGGTGTCCCTACTCTCCTTTCACTCACTCGCTCTCCTGCTCTCTGAATCAGTTTCAATTATCCCTACTCTTCAAAGAACACATTTTGTCAAGTGGACCCAAGTCCCTAAGCATTTCCTCCCTCTCAACCTTCCACTGTTTTCCCTCATCATCTCTCCAATACCTCTGCCTTTTCACCGAGAGCAACAGTAAAGTGTATACCAAATAACGTGTATTCGTAATAAAGTGTTAAGATCGTGCGTGATTTATATTTTAAAAAGATACAGTAATAGGTTAGGACAGATTCAAGGTGCTGTCTGTAATTATTGTAAGCAATGAGCTAGAAATTTTTGAGTCAATGTTATAGCCAGGACGCTTGGAACACACCTGCCAGTGTGTTGTTGGTGTGAATGCTTTAGGCACACTTTTAGAAAGCAGGCCAGGGTAATGTCAGATCCCAGTGAAGTTATTAGTTATTGCCCAGTAGTCAGGGCAAAGGTTCCCTGAAGTCCTTGAAGAACGACACAGTGAATGCTGAATTAGGAAAACTGCCCTGTAGTTTGGCTTTGAAGGAGAAGAGGCTGGAAACTGGTGAGGTAACATGAGAAAGCAGGACCTAAAACTAGAAGGCCTGAGAGGAGGAAGTGTAGCAGGTAGTAGGGCTGGCAGCAGAACACCTTCTCCTAGGTCCTAAGATGACTCTGGCATCATCCACGAAACCCTGAGTGGTGGTCAATCTGGACACAGCCTCTTGGCCCTCACCTACCAGCTGGGGTGGCTCTGCCAAGCCCTGACCTCAGTTTTGGTGAATTTTCCCTGCGGTGAGCTAAAGAGCAGTCCCTGGCAGATAGAGATGGTCTGACTTGTTCTGGTAGTTTCCAGAAAAGAGAAAAGGAAGAAGGGTGTGCCCCAGTGCCATTCTGTGGCAGCACTCTAAAGAGGCATTCCAGGTGGCACTTAGTACCTAACGCCCTGGGCTACTAACCAGAGGTGCCTAGGAAGAAAAATTAGCCATTGAAAAACCTGTGGAGCACAGTTCCATTCTGACACACATAGGGTCTCCATAAGTACCAATCAGGTTAAAGGCAACTGTATTTGAATTCTAGCTACTCTTCAACTGCGAGATAATGAATTATTTACATGGTCTGTAGTGGCCCAGCCTTCCCTTCCCTGAAACAGAGGAACTGTCTTTCATAGTCTGTGTGCAGCTTTGGCAACACCCAGCAAAACACCTGGCACAGCATAGGTGTGCCATAAATATTTAAGTAAGTAAAAAAATAGAAAACTCTTGACTAAGAGGAAATTAATCAATAAACAATGAGCTCTCCACCAGCAACACAGCACCTTCAGTGCCCTTTTTATTGAGTCTGTGTTATTTGAGGGGTAAGGAGCCAGGAGCATCCACTGAATATATACAAGCCAAGAAAAGCCTAGAAGATGAGAGCCGTGAAAAGGGAAAACCAAAAATCTTTTTTTGGGGCAAAGGGGTGGGCAGATGGGTGTGTGGGAAGGAGATGGTTGAAGAGGGAGTAAGATTCTGTAGTTTCAAAATAGATTAGCCAACCCACTAATTATACATAGTGTCTGAAAACACCAAAGCTGTTCTCTTTTTGGAAAACATTTGAAGTCACTTGCAAGTATATTTTCTTTTCTCCTCCCCCCCCCTTTTTTTTTTTAGGAGGGTGGGGAAAGGTTGGGTATGGGCATATAAACATTACAATAATAAAAAAAAAAAAAGAATTTTAAGGGGAAAATATTACCCATAATCCCACTAACCTACAGTCTTCACATTTTTATATTATTCTTTCATTCTATTTGTATGCACATGATTTTTTCCCCCATCTTTGTGAACTTTACGTAGATGCATATTTTCAGTCTTTCTCTACAGTATTTGCCTGAACATTTCCCTTGTGGCCAAACAGGCTATATTATTATCATCTTCATTGGCTGAAGAAGTTGCAATGTTTTAGACTGTAATTATAATGGTGCAGTGAAGATCTTCATTGACAAAACATTTTGCTTTCCCTAGATTATTGCCCACTACCACTGAGTCGATCCTGACTCATAGCGATACTTTTAAGACAGAATAGAACTTCACCATATTGTTTCCAAGGCTGTAAATCTTTACAGAAGCAGACTACCTGATCTTTCTCCCACAGAGTGGCTGGTGGGTTCAAACCACTGACCTTTTGGTTAGCAACTGAAAGCTTTAACCATTATGCCACTGGAGCTCCTTCTATATTACTGTCTGAGGGTAAACTCCTGGGTCAAAGGGTATGAATGCTTTCACCAGTAGAAGTGAGTTTCAGTACCCTGACCACTAAGGGCTGGTTGGAACCTCAATAGCACTATATTCAAGGAGCTGTGGAGGCACAATGGTTAAGCATCAGGCTGCTTATTGAAGTTGGTGGTTCGAATCCATCCAGCAGCTCAGAAAGAGAAAGACCTAGTGGTCTTTCCTGTAAAATGTACAGCCTAGAAAACCCTACAGGGCAATTCTGTTCTGTCACATCAGGTCACTATAAGTCAGAATCAACTCCACAGCACTCAGCAACCAAAGCACCATATTTGTCCCTGAGTGCAGCAAATGGTTAAGCTCTTGACTAATAGCTGAAAAGGTGGCAGGCAGCTCAGACCCACTCAGAGGTGCCTCAGAAGACAGGCCTGGCAATCTGCTTCCAAAAGGTCACAGCCTTGAAAACCTGCAGGAGCACACATGGGGTTGCCAAGAGTTAGAACTGACTCGACACCAACTAACAACAGTACCACAGTCAGTACCTCTCTCTGATGCTCAAACATAGCCCACACAGTCTCCAGCATCCTCATCCACACAACTGTGCCCTTCACCCCATAAGAGAGCTGGAAAGGGGTCTGCT